CCCATACCGTCTACAGCCGTAACGTACCGATCCAGACAAATGATAAATCGCCCGTGCTCAACCATTTATTTCAATCCGTACCTCGATCCTAGTAGAATATAGTGAGTCGAGGTATGGATTGAAATAAATGGTTGAGATGCCGGTACCGTACCGTCTCACCAAATACCGGTAGTCGGTTATAGTCGCTTTGCGTCTGACTGTAACGGTAGCCATGCAATCACTCATGAAAGAATGGGAGATACGGATAGTCTCGTAGAATATAGACTACTGAAACACTTTCTGCGCCTGCCCCATACCGTACAGCCGTAACGTACCGATCCAGACAAATGATAAATCGCCCGTGCTCAACCATTTATTTCAATCCATACCTCGATCCTAGTAGAATATAGTGAGTCAAGGTATGGATTGAAATAAATGGTTGAGCACGGGCGATTTACCATTTGTCTGGATCGGTACGTTACCGCTGTACGGTATGGGGCAGGCGCAGAGAGTGTTTCATTAGTCTATATTCTACGAGATTATCCGTATCTCCCATTCTTTCATGAGTGATTGCATGGGTACCGATACGGTCAGACGGTACCGTACCGGCATCGCACGAGTGTTCAGACAATTGAGCAGTTAAGCAGCATTTTCCAATTAAATTACCTTCTACACGTAAAAACAAATTTTCGTATTCAATTCTATATTCTCTTATCATTATTATAAATATATTGCTTGTGGTTGAACTTGTAGCATGGAGAATTTATAGAACATTTTCATGTTGAATTTATTGAATATTGCTCTTGAAAATCAGTAGTGAGTTAGAAACCCAGGAAACACATTTGTGCGTATAGGATTAAGCCTGACAACGTTGGTCCCAAGCAGCATCAAATTTTCTAAAAATAAAAACGCGTGACAACGATGGGCCACGAGGCGGACCATCGTTGTCAACCTTTTTAGTTTCTTTTTATCCAATTTTTTTTTTTTTTTTATTTATTTTATTTTTTAATTTTAATTTTTTTTATTTTCAATTATTTTTTTGTTTTTTCACAACTGTTTTTTTTATTTTCGCTTTTTCATTTTATTTTTTCATTTTTTTTTAAAATTTTACGCGTGACAACGATGGGCCACCATAGTGTTCCTTGTAAAAAAAAGAGAGGACGGGCGGAAATAGCTCATCAACATTAAAAGGCCTACCATTCTGGATGCCCGTTTTATGTGTATTAAAAGTATCCGATATCCGAAACTTAATAATAAACCCACTAAATTTAGTAAATTGCACTTTTCACGAAAGCGTGGTGGAATTGGCGATTATTTCATATCTCGAACACAGAAACGGTTATTTTTTGGATAGTTTCTGAGGCATGAAAAGTCGACGTAACTAACAGTTGAGGTTGCGTGAAACTAACTACCTTTCCTTGCTCTATATGCCTTTGCGCAGGTGGATCCGTATGCGTATTACGCAAGGATGCTGACATGCTGTAGCAAGAGTGTAAATGGCTATTCTATTCAATTTAAGAGTCTTGCTGCACACGAACACAAATATATTTCTAAATAAGCGTTCCGCCATAGGAAATGCTACGATCGTTGCCATCAAATTATGGTCGGGCCTTGCACGAAATTCATAACGTGAAAAGATTCGTCCATCGATGAAAATTGTTTATAACAACTTTAAACCTATTCAGTGTTTTTAGCGATAATAATTAATTGTTGTAATGAAATACGGTTTGTTTGCCTCTTTCATTTCTTTCGCTAGAGCCGTGAATTACACCATTGAATGATTTTGGCAATAGGAGAATCATATTAAATTGTAACAAAAATGAATTAGGTTGTTCCAAAGTGAGAATACATGTGATGATAGTAAGGCATAACATGGAACGGGGAGGGTCGAGAAAAACCAAAGCGTTTTAGCGTCACGTATTACCCGTGTATCTTTTACAATAATGTGAGATGCTCCGAAGGTGGGTCTCGTTAACATTATTGTAAGAAAACAGTTATAAAATCGGTAGCTATTAACCATCCATTTTAAATACAAGGTATGTTGTATTAACAAGAATAGAATTTTCTTATCTGATTCATCATTTTATAGCTAAATGACTTCAAGAGAAGGAAATGCTCATGTTTTGTGATAGATGTGCCGCGAATATTTAAAAAGCTCAATAGTGTGCCGCGACATAAAAAAAAAAGGTTGGAACCACTGGTTTAAGGAAGGCGTGTGCATCTGATTGTAGATTTTCTCGAGGTAATTTAAAATGCCCCCACCCCCTCCCCCGTTATAAAAATAAATTTAGATATAACGATTCATATGTAAGATTTGGTTTTGCTGTGATCGTTTTGGAGGGAAAAAAATTACAGTGGCACCGCCCAATCCCGATGTCGCTAAAATGGCACTAAAATACTCATTCCATTTGCAACAACTTACAAATGTGAGGCCTCTTTTTCTACGTTACTCGCTATTAAAACAAAATATCGAAACAGAAAGAACGTGAGACACGATATGAGAGTTGCGTTATTTAAAACAGAACCCAAGGTAAATGAACCTGTGGGAGTCAAGCCGGCGCACCCATCTCATTAAACTGTTTTAATGTCCCTCAATAGATATGCTTGATATACCGCGTTGCTATTTGCTTTCATTTCTTTAGTGGACCGCGAGTCATCGGAAAAATTGAATGGGAACCATTAGGCATAACTTTTTAAAAAGTTTGAGAACCACTGCGGCCTAGGTGAATATCCGATGGATGACTTGCGGCTATAGAAGTTTTATTTCGAGGATGAGGAATTTGGACGGTAAATTGAAAATGGGTGTAATAACTTTTAAAAAGATAATGAATTAGTCAAAAATAGTCAAATTAAATGTTTAACATACAAAGTGCAACAAGTAAACCCAATAATAGGGTTTTAAACGTGGTTGCCTCAATTCTGTGGTTCTGGCGCTCAAACATTTCTTCTTGTTTTTTCTTCAAATGAGTGGAAGCAATGACATTAAGCAAGCTCGTTCGTTCAACGCGTCATACGATAACGTGCAAATGATTGGTATTTTCGGATCTTCGTGTGACTAAACTATCATGACAAGCTGATAAGAAAGAAGCTACCATTTTTTGTTAAATAAAATTCATTTGTTTTTGGGAGAGATTTATTTATAAATGCATTGTTGCCATCAGTTACCTTCATTGTACTCGTTTGAATAACTTCCATTTCGAATTGTTATGTGATTCATCCAAGAAAATTCAAAATTGTATTCTCAAGCTATATAATACGAGTATATACTGCGCGGAAGCGTATTTTATATTAAACTTAAATTTCAAGTGCGCGGGACATGCTCTAAACAAATACTTACATTATATATCTTTCAAAAAATTAATTCATTCGTGATTTCATAAATGATATAATAAGTTATGTTCAAGAATATTAGTCTTCAAGAACGATATTTAGTTTGAATCTAATTTAGAACGTAAACTCAGTCTTATTGTTATTTCTGCTGCAGCAATTTATGTATTCCTTCAATTGACTGACCGACAGGAAATGTACATCACAAGAACAGAATCCAGAAGTGAGCATAATCAGATTTCATAAGTTGACTAAATCAGTTTTAAATGTGATTCTGTATGAAGTTTTATGTAGTTTATGTACATCAGTGATTACTCATACCGTATAAATGGGTATTTGTGCAAGCTTTGTTATTATTATATATATATGCAAAAGTCGGCTTTAAATAATTAATAAGGAAATTTGGCTTGAAAGTAATGCGAGCTCGGAAACTAAGATTCAGAATGACTAATAACGTATTCAACCCGTCATCTATATTTGGCATTGATTATTTGAAAAAAAAAAGTAAAATCATAACAGTGACACGCAGGATAGCTCTCTAGTATTGGCTTGCCTTGCCATATAGCATCACAAAAAGCCATGATATAATATACGAAGACGAGAATCAGAGCAATCCATATACTGTATAGTTACAGTGCATTTATAATGTTTAACGAGAATTACCATTGCGTATTGCTCAGTTGACAAATAGGTCAAAACTAATCAACTTATGATATTTAAGTGACAAAAAAGGCTATTATTCCGATTAAATTGAATATGGACCTCGGGTAACAAGGATAACTAACTATTTTGATTTTATTTCATGAACTTTTTAGTGGTGTTTTTTTTTTTTGTGGTAGTCAAGAGCGAGCACTCAAAATAGCATTCTATCTCATAGCCTTTTATTGGTGATAAATCAATCCCATTTCTTTTTTCGAAGTACCTAAATAAATGTCTAGCTTGCATGGTGATCGGGCGCGTGAGAGCCCGTCGGATACTACGTTTTGAACCTCAATATAGAGTTTGCTCGTGTAATGAATGAGAAATATAGTACCTTGATATAAGGCTTTATTCAACTTAAATTTAAAGAACTCTTAGAATGAATCTAAAGTAAAATATAACACAAGTAAATGTTATTAAACAAGAAAACAAATACGTAGCGAATTGGTGATGCTAACAGTAAGGGGCTCAATAGTTAAATGAATAAAGTTGAAAGAATTAACACACTACACAGTTGTAGCATGCACAGCAATGATTGGTGTCTGATTTAAAACGCCACAGCAATTATCGCTGGGCTGCAGCTGTATAAACAAATAGATACATTGAGTTGCATTTACAAGTTATCACATTCACCGCCACTTTAGAGATTTAGTCTGTCTACGGTTCGGCGTTCCCTGGTTGATCTCCTTAGAATCGGAGGAGATGGAGATCTAGAGACAATATTATTTTCAACAATATCTTCTTGCGTTTGAGTTTTATTGTTTCCTTGATTGATAGATGGAGACATAGGTTGAATCGAAGACTCGTCTCTAACGTGCAATGGTGTTTCATGTTTGATATCGTCCGTCCCTTGCTTATTCATTGAAATTTCGTAACCGACAGGGGCCAGATGTTTTGAGGCCACAGTTGTTTTGTCTGCCGTCTGGAAATCGAACATGAGCATATTGTGGATTTGCTTCCAGAAGCTCGACTTCATCTACTAAAGGTTCGGTTTTTTACTTCCTGACATATCTTTTCAAAAGCACTGGTCCCGGCGTTGACATCCAGGATGGAATAGAACATCCAGACGTAGATCTTCCAGCGAATTTGAAAACTCGCTCATGAAGAGTCTCATTGGTGGATGTACACAATAACGGCCGTATGGAATGCAAAACATCAGGCAAAACCTCTTGCCACAATTGAACAGAAAGACGTTTCGATTTCAGCGCCAACTTCACCCCATTCCATATCGTGCCATTAAAACGTTCAACCTGTCCATTTCCTGCAGGATTATATGGTGTGGTGCGACTTGTTGCAATACCTTTGTCATTGAGAAAAGAGCAAAGTTCTTGACTCATGAAAGCAGAACCTCTGTCTGAATGTATAAAAGCAGGCATTCCAAATGTAGTGAATAGTTGCGTGAGACATTTAATGACACTTGCTGTGGAAACATTTGGACATGGGAATGCAAACGGAAATCTCGAAAATTCATCGACTACGCACAGAAAGTATCGATTACTATTGTTTGACGGTAGAGGTCCTTTAAAGTCTATATTGAGACGTTTAAATGCCTGTGTTGCTTTAATAAGGTGCCCGATGTCAGGTTTATGAAATCGGGGCTTGCATTCACAACCAACAGGACATGTTGAAATAACTTTTCGAATGTCATCCATCGAATATGCCAAATTCCTGACTCGAATAAAGTGAGACATTCTCGTAATTCCTGGGTGACACAGAGCGTCATGAAGTTTATACAAAAGATGATTTTCGGGATCTTGTACAGTTGCGCACGATATTTTTGAAAGTGCATCAGAGGAAATATTTTCTTGCCCAGGACGATAACGAATGTCAAAACTATAGCAACAGAGTTCTAGTCGCCGTCGCATGATTTTATCATTTTTGATCTTTGTTCTGTGATTTCGACTGAACATAAATGATACGGATCTCTGATCTGGTATTAGAGTGAAATGTTTACAAGTGAGATAGTGACGCCAATGACGAACAGCCTCAATGATGGCCTTCGCTTCCTTCTCTATTGAAGGGTGTTTGAGTTCTGGACCTTGTAGCATGCAAGAGAAAAAAGCCACTGGTCTCCCACCTTGGTTTAGGGTTGCAGCCAATGCTACATCAGAGGCATCTGTTTCTACTTCAAAAGGTAAAGTTTCATCCACAGCTATAACGACAACAGATTCTACGAGTCGCTTCAATTCTTGAAACGCATGGATTGCCTGGTCGTCGAGAGGAAAAGTTTTCGCAGATGTTAGTGGTCTGATTGTATCAGAAAACTTTAGTATCCACTTTGAGTAGTACGAAAAAAACCCAAGACAACGCTTTAAAGCAGAAACTGAGGTAGGAATCGGCAAACGCCGCAAAGGTTCTAGTCTCCCAGGATTCGGACGTATTTGGCCTTCCTCAATCTCGTAACCTAGAATCAGGAGTTTTCTGGTCGAAAATATGCTTTTGTTTTCGTTCAATTTTAGATTTCGTCGTTTAGCGGCTTCTAGAAACTTCTGCAAGTTGATATCTTGTTGAGTATGCCCACAAATGGTAATGTTATCGAGATACGCGAAAACACCGGTCAGATTTTCTTCTTTTACCAGGTTCATCATTGCCCTCTGGAAGCAGGCCACACCATTTGTGACTCCAAACGGTAAACGAGTAAACTGGAACAGAGCACCCGCAGCTTTGAAAGCAGTATTTCTGGTCTTCCTTTTCAAGTGGAACCTGATGGTATGCACTTTTCAAATCCACTGTGCTATACACACGATAGTGAGCAATTTCGTTGATTAGATCACTCGTATTAGGTAAAGGAAACGCGTCTGAGTAAATTTATTAATGGTCTGTGAATAATCTATTACAAACCTTCGTTTCCCATTTTCACCCTTTACGACGACAACTTGAGCTCTCCACGGAGATCTGCTGGGCGTTACAATTCCTTCCTGTAACAAACGGTTGACCTCCATTTCAATAAACTTTCTGTCATCTTTGGAATACCTACGAGACTTTGTAGCAATAGGATGGCAGTCAGCAGTCAGATTTTTGAATGGTTCTGGTGGCAAACTTTTGAAAGTTGAAAAGCCACATACAGACATTGGAGGTCGATCGCCGCCGTAATTATAAGTTACACTTTGATGTTGTCCCTGAAAGTCTATTTCAAGTAAAATGTCACAACATAGATCATCCATTACTCTCAATTTGAATTTTGGATAGTGTCGGCCCTGATATTCAATATCAGCTGCTGTGCAACCTTTTATAGGCATGGAACACGCCAGAGAAGCCATTGCTACATTGTTCTTAACTGTGTCCCTTTTGATTGGGAGGTTACACCGTTCTATGAGACTAGGGTGTATGAAACTCTGACTACTGCAACTATCAAAAAGTGCGCGTACTTCGTGTCCTTCAATATGAATCACAGACGACGACCCTCTCAATGATTTTGGGGTATTGTCAAGAGCCATCCCTAATATATACGAGTTAGAACATGCAGTGACTTCGTCAGGTTTTTCTGGGTTGGAAACGGTTCCTCTGCAGACTTTTATGAAATGTCCATTTCTTGACACTTGAAACAAAACACATTTCGGGCTGGACATTTTGAACGAGGATGTTTCTTTCCGCCACAGAAAAAGCACGCGGGATTTGCAGTAGCAGATATTTTCTCGATATCACACGATGTCTCATCGTTTTGAGCAGCCGCAGACACAGTAGAAGAATCGGATACTCGATAATATCACGGTTTATAGATGTTGCTACCGTGTGTATTGAATCAGAAGACTCAGATTCCGGATTTGTGGTTTATTATGAGGCAACTTCACAGTTAAAACAGCAGAAAACAGAGAACACAGGAAAACACGTCCGGCCGCCAGCGAGGCGACCGGAGAAGAGGCGGGAAGCTCTTTTTTCTCACGACTCGATGGTGATCGGAGTCCCACAGCAACCGGATGAGGTATATCCAAACCAAGGGTCCTCCAAAGGCATATAGGCAAATACAAAAAGCCAAACTAAATTAAAACACACGGATAATAAATCCGTGACAGAATCCCTCCCTTGTTTAGGATGAAACTCCATAAGTTTCATTCTCAAAATCGAATTAAAAAAACACAAAACAACCAAATTTTTAAAGATTATGTACCCCTCCCCCTCTTCAAAATATCTTTCACATAGCCAAATGGTTTAAACAAGATGATACAATAAAAAATAGTCGTGAACGAAATTGCTCTTCAAATCCTATTCGATATGGATTACGCTTGACAGGCTTGGCAAAGATGTCATGGTTTTTCTTATCTTCATTTAAATGTTCCACTTCGGATAATAATAACTCGAGGTGATCAGGCAAACTTTCCCCCACTTCAGGATCAGAGTTAGACATATCAGCAATTTGGTAAACCTCCCCTCTTGGGTGAACTATTCCAACTGAGGTACTCGCCTCGACATGCACCGGTTCCTGGCTCACGTTGACCACACAATTTGGGATTCCAACAACCCAGGGCTCCACCACTGAAGGTAACACACAATCCCACTTCTGAAAACCGGTCACAACAGTCCAGCTAGCTTTAACCATCGCACACATGCCGGAATCTTCATCATCACACCAAGGCTCACTCAGCCCACCAAAAATGCTGTTATGTTCTGCCTGAGACACCGTTCCCGAAGTCGCTGAGTTGATAATGGTTCCGTTAAACTCTTTGTCCAAGCTGGATTTTTGTTTCATTTTCCTGATTGTCAGAACCTTCGAAGTTGCCGTCATTGATTTCCTCCAAATCCTGGCGTGCTCGCCATTATCACGGTTCATTATGTTGCTACCGTGTGTATTGAATCAGAAGACTCAGATTCCGGATTTGTGGTTTATTATGAGGCAACTTCACAGTTAAAACAGCATAAATCAGAGAACACAAGAAAACACGTCCGGCCGCCAGCGATGCGACCGGAGAAGAGAGCGGGGAACTCTTTTTCTCACGACTCGAGGCTGGTTGGAGTCTCACAGTAAGCGGACCCGGGTGAAGTATATCCAAACCAAGGGTCCTCCAAAGGCATATAGGCAAATACAAAAAGCCAAACCAAATTAAAACACACGGATAATAAAATCCGTGACAATAAGCTTCAGCATTCTTAATTGCTACTTCTAAGCTCCTGGCTTGATCGTATGTCGTATTAAGATCAAGGTGTTTGTTTTCCAACAAACGCTGTCGTATCCATGTGGAGTTCAACCCCCGGATAAAAGCGTCTCGGACATAAGCATCTCGGTTTTGAACAGCAGATACAGCTTTGAAGTTACAATGTTTGCTTAACGATTTCAATGCTTGCATGTATTCGTCTACATTTTCAGATGCTTGTTGGTTCCTGGTTGCCAGAACATGTCGAGAATAAACTTAATTGAGAGGTTTGACATACATTGTTTTCAGAATCTCAATCGCAGTATCGTACGATTCTGCCTCCTCAATATATTGGAATATACGAGGAGATATGAAATTCACCAGTACACCTAGTTTATCAAGGCCTTCAGACGGCAAGGCGTTTAGAAAATTATCGGATGTCTTCTTCCAGTGCAGCCACTCACAGGATGCTTCACTAGAGTTAGGATCTACCTCTAGTCTCTCTGGTCTCAGAACCTTGTCCATGCTTCTACCAGAATACTCTTGTGAAATAATTTAAGTTGAATAAATTGTAATGAATGAGAAATATAGTACCTTGATATAAGGCTTTATTCAACTTAAATTTAAAGCATTCTTAGAATGAATCTAAAGTAAAATATAACACAAATAAATGTTATTAAACACAAAAAAACAAATGCGTAGCGAATTGGTGATGCTAACAGTAAGGGGCTCAATAGTTGAATGAATAAAGTTGAAAGAATTAACACACTACATCTACAGCACAGCAATGATTGGTGTCTGATTTAAAACGTCACAGCAATTATCGCTGGGCTGCAGCTGTATAAACAAATAGATACATTGAGTTGCATTTACAAGTTATCACAGCTCGTTTATTCCCTATTTGTTATTTCACTTTTAATCGACATGTTTTTGTTATAGAAACCAACATATATTATGTTATATATATGCATATCGTAGCCTTTCCATATTTCCCAAAGCGCCTAATCGATAGGCCTACCTTTAGCATTTTATTATTTTTGAATTAATCTACTAGATTCAAAATCATTCATCGGGTATTCACCTAGAGCAGGGTGGTCCAAGGTTGTCGGCTTCGGGGCCCACACTCTTATTTTGATATTGTTTGCGGGCCAAAATAATAGGTAAACAGTGTAATACAAAACAAGCACTTTTATTGTCCAAATGCATTGATTTTTATTTGTCATTCATCAAGCTAAAACATGAAAAAATCTTACTATATCTACATTTAGTATAAGATTCAAACTCTTCATAACCGAAAGTGCCATAAAGAAAACATGCCGTTTCAGATTGTCACCGACACACCTTGGAGATATCAAGCAATCATTGTGGTATTTTCCCCCATATCCAGACAAAAATCTGTTTGAATGGTCAGCTTTCTTTTCAAACTCAAGTTTACAAAATAACTTACAAATAACTGCACATTGATTGATTCCTGAATTTTACCAAATTTGAGATACAGGAGGATAAATACTAAATTTTCCGACATATGAGCAGCATTTTTTTTTATGGCGAAACAACACCAAATGCGATTTTTTATTTACCATCTCGCGAATGCGACGCGGGCCACATGTGACCCGCGTTTGGACCACCTTGACCTAGGATGACTGATATTTTTTTTTATTCCATGGACTTTTATTGACGATAATTCCCATTTTCATTTTTTCTCAAAGTGCCTTCTAATACTACGTTTTAAACCTCATTATTGGGTTACTCATTGCATGTTCAACATTTAATTTGACTATATGTATTTAACTAATTCATTATCTTTTTATAATTTATTACGCCCATTTTCCCTTTTTTTCGAAGTGCCTACCGGTACCAATTTGTTTGTCACGGACCCTGGCATTTCAACGATGACTTTGCAAGATCGCAAAAATAAGAACCACAAGTTAAATACAATCGGGCAGTTTACTGCACAATTTATGTTCGCATATTGTCGAAGTACTTTTAGAGCAATAATGATTTTATTTTTACTTAAGTTATTATCTCGTGAAAAAGTCCATTCTTTTAGGATGGGATTTACATATTTATCAAGGGGGAGGAAAGACATTAAGACGGTCTAACCATATGGCGAACCGAAGCTTCTCGTCCGGTTACCATTCCATGTCGGGTATGGAATTAGTTAGTTATTTTTTGTTTTCGGAAGCATGGGCTTGATGGTGGAGGAAGCCGTAACCGACCAGCGGTTACGTGAACCCCTCTAGGGCGGCGAGGAGTCCAGCAATCCTCTGGCACATAACCATTCCCGCATGGGATTCGAACCTCCGAAGTGTATACCGGATCATAAGTAGGGTATGCAACTGAGAAATGAGCATGTCATATTGCTCGAAAAATAGAGAAGCCAGAAATTCAGTCCGAATATTCCTTAAATTCACGAAGAAATGAATTTTCACGCGGGTTCTCGATAATCAATATTAGTTCTAAAAAAATATACATATAAATATGCTGCCGTGTGCGGCCGACCTGATATTTACAATATGTCGTCGTTCACACAGGATAGGATTCACAATTTTATCCACGGGGAGAGAAATGCCGATAAGACGGCTTAATTATATGGCGAGTCACGGCTTCTGGTCCTGTTACCAGTCCATGTCGGGCGTGGGATTAGTTAGCCAGATAATTTTTTCAGATGCATGGCCTTGATTGTGGAGGAAGTCGTAACCGACCAGTCTTTTGAAAAGATAGAGCAGGGATGGCGAACCACTGACCCGCGGGTCACAAAGTGGCCCACCGCGTTTCATCCGTGACCCGCCAAGGCACGAATAAAATTTAAAAAATGCTAACATTTCAGTGATAAAAATTTATAAAACCGGTCTTGAATTAATTTAACAATTAATAAACTATTATAATGTACCGTCAGTTGGGCAGTAGAGCTGCGATCGCTCATATTCAAATGTGGATTCAAATGGACGCATGTTTCAATGTCTGCGCCGCTGTGTACCGTTATTCATTTATTGGCTCTGACATCGTTTATAAAATAACAATGCCATTAATCTGTTCATTTCTCGCAACGTCTTGTTTTTTTTCGGAAGTGCATCTGTTTACTGTTTTAGGGGTTATACGAAAACTAGATGCTACTTTACATTTTATTAGTTTCTCGCCTACAATGCCATTGAGAAAACAAAATATTCCAAACTTGAAATGAAAACCTAGAAATCTGAAATAACAATTGGGCAGTGTAAAAGTGTCTTAATGTGACTGAAAGCTGATCAAAAAATATAACACTATCAAAGTGGAGTTCCCTCCAACTCTTGGAAATAATTTGCCGTATAATCAAACGTTTTTGGTAATTCATATGCGTTATTTCGTACTCTAATTTCATAAAATCGAGTGCCATATAAAGTCCCTGATAGAAGCGTTGCATAAGTAACGCCCAAAACTACACCAACAGAAGCTTATAAGATTTGTTCCAGAAGTTTCATAATTATAGATACAAACATTGATTAAGTAACTGTGACCCACTCTCTTCTGTTACACGATAAAAATATAATTAAATCCTCCTCCTATAAATAAAAGGTGAACTCGAAAATTCACAGATTACTGACAGAAAAGATTTGAGTCACCCGAAATTTAATTGCGCAAATATCAATTCAAAGACAAACTGTACAATGTCATAACATTAGATAAGACATCAATAGAAGAAAAAATATGAACAAAACTTCCGATCTCACTGATTTGAATTGTTATCACAACAATCTGAACCCAGCCTGTTAAAATTCCGATGCTGGTGTTCAGTGCATGGTTGAGGTCCAAATTATTTCATTGTTTGGGTTAAAGCAAATATTATGATGGTAATAGGTGGCCAATCGTCACTAGCAGGAATCAGATTAGGTAATCATACTATGAGAATACTTCATCAATCCACAACTGGAATATGCCCATACACAACTTGGTGAACAAAAATATATAACACAGCAGCATAAAATCCATTTCAATTAAGTTAATTTTTACATTGTCCTTGTTCTAAAGAACTATTTACAAAAGGTGGCAACTCATTTACTATTACTTATATTGAAATAAATATATAACTCAGCTGCATACAGCAAATGTAAACAAAAATAGCAGCATAATGTCAAATAACTTAATTAAGCAAAAATGCAACCTCCAAACAAAAGAGTCCTAGCTGAACTTCAAATAAATTTCCTACAAATATGGAGTACTGTAACATGCTGTACAGTACAACAATACCTATATTAGATATGAATAAACAAACCTTAAATGAATGTATTTGACGAATATTGCTTTTTTTCTGTTGAAACTGATACCACAAATATTCTGTGGGACGTACTACGAGTTTTTTTGACTTGGGAATATGAAAACAACGTTTTATCAAACTAGAGTCAATGTGGGAAATATGAACTAATCAACAACCTAGAATAAATTTTGTTCATGTCTCTTATTGTTCCTGAATGTCAGAAATATAAACAATGTAATTGATACACAACATTTTTTGAAAATGAATTCTGTCAGGATGTCGGTTAGCTTTCCACTGAAAACTGTTCAATACGATGCCAGAAACACTCAGTACTGAACGTAGTAAATACTGTACGACGTCAACATGGAGTTCAGGCTACAGTTTTTCATTTCTCTGGCGCTTGTCATTCAGTTTTTCATTCCTTTTTTATCCCTTTACCAATAATTTAACTATAAAGAATACTGATTTCTTGTAGTAGATCCAGTTCTAGTCTGTAGGTCTTGATGTGACTAAAGAATATAATTATATCATGAGCATTCTGCCGATTAATCACCTTTCATGGGTTAAGAAGTTCAAAGTTGTGGGAAGTGATTTAGTGAAAGAGGTCGCAAAAATCTTTTATCCTATAGAATGGTTCACAAAATGACAGGTCAATATCACTGCTTTGAATACCAATAAATTCCATGCATTAGGTGGTGAATCCTCAGACTGGGTTCCCTCCCCCAGGGTAAATATGAATGCTATTTATTATCCGCTTTCCCAAACTAATATGCAGCCTACCTATAATATTTGTCAGTGAAAGACTAAGATTATCAAATCAGATGGCAACCAGATTCTACTTAAGAGCAAGATATAGACAAAATCAGCATAATTATTATTCCTAATTCACAACAATACCTGATATCCTAAAACGACTTTAGTAGGAAGTTGTAGTCTTTCTTTGTACTTTGTTCTTAAAAATAAAATGTAGAAGGTATTAAGGATAGACTGAAGAATTTCTGACACAATGACTCAAAAAAATTCTTAATTCAAGTTATTCCAATCCTTAAATATCGGGTCGAGCCTGATGATTAATGAACAACTAAGCTAAAGGGTTTTCCAATAACCCGGGTGCAAGTTGCAGGCCTAATTCCAAGGTGGAAAACCTCTTGATGGACAATATAACTAGCGCTGTTTGGTTAAACAAATCAGAATTACTTAATTGTAACTTTAGATAACTAATCAAACTGTCCTAAGACAGTAACAGCATTAGTTGTTTATTTCTGTTTTCACACAACAATCCCACTTTGTACAATATCAAAAACGAACAACAGAAAACACTTCAAAACTTTGAGAAAACTAATGCCACATACCCTATTTTAAGAATCACATCACGTCTATGGCAATCTGATGTCCATACAGCAATCTTGTCTCCCTTGTTTCTTACTTGAACTACTGCACCATTAACAAAATCTGATTCTGCTTCAAAAGATTCTCCAATCATACAGAGGATCTTGAGAAAAAGATAATTTATCACATCATTATTATGAATATATCAAAAACTTTCTATTATTATTAATGAAATGTGCTTAAAAAACCAGGACCACAAAATGTCTTTCAAAAGCAAAAGCAATATGTTAAATTTTGCGGTAGGATAGTTGAGGATTATCATGTCAATAAAAATATAGAGAAAAGATGACAATACAGCATATCATATAGTGAACCACAGCTTTTCATCCGGTTACCAGTCCAAGCAAGGTTTGTAACATAAAATATCAAAAATTTATATAGGATAGATTTTATATTAATTTATATTGGGAATTAGAAAATTAGAAATCTGGAGAATAATTACGGTATATGGTTAGGAGCTGTACACTGAAATTTCTGATAGTCCCAGCTCCAGTTCTAACCACCCATACAAAAACCCCAGATAAAAAATCGTAAATGACAATAGGATTTACAACTTATTATACTATATTTACAAGCCAAACTTACAGTTTCAAGCCACATTCTATCTAATTCTTGATATCTCTGTGTTTTGTTCAACTGAAACAACCATCGTCCACCATTTTTATTTGCTTCATCTTCCCACATAGGCTGCACCCCATCCTGCATACAGTGCACATATTGTAGAGATTAGGAAAAATTACAAACAACTTCATGAAATTATTGTGATAAAAATTCATTTTAGAAATTCAGGCTATCAAGAGAAAGAATTACTTAATTTGATTTATATTCTGACTTTTTGCACTTCACATCTGTGTTAGACAAATTAGCACTATGCTTTCGAAACACTGGACAGGGCATTACACACTCTCTTACGCCCTGATATTCTGGAGGGCCAGAGATATTCAACCTGAGATACCAATAGGTAGATCCAATGTCAAAAACGCTATAATGCTGTACATTATAATAATAGTAATATGCTGCACAATTTGAAAGCTGGAAACATTGAAAAAAAAAGGCGCCCCAAAAGTGTGTGAACCAATATGGAGGTATCTAATTTTGTTCACCTATTTTACATCAAGTTGTGAAAGGGACTGACAGCTATGGACTGGGGGGTATAATCACTTGGCTAACACACACATTCCCCGAACTCATAATAGATAGAGCTAAAATAAGGAAAATTGGAATAAAATTATGGCCTAAACCTGGTACACACACTACGGGAGTACCGAAAAAAAAAAACATAGCATTCCTGCAGGAACCCGCAGTTGAACTAAAAGTACTGCAAGTAATAACAACATAAAACAAAGGTTGAGATAACTTCAAACTTTAACATTAACATGGGAAGTTAGTCAAGCATTAACCAAAACCAACCAACACATAACTAAAGTCGCCCACACATTTAGAATTAGACTATGAGCAATGATAAATGAACATTTTCAGTAAGCATTCAGTTAAACCACAACCCCCAAGAGCCTTGTAATAGGTTCAATGTTTAAAAATGTTCTCAACGTTACAAAAGAGTCACAGCAGGATTACTGAGCAGATATATAGATATCAAAATGATATCAGTAGTATGACAATAACCATACCTTGAATAGACAATAGTCGCAGCCACTTTGCAGCTTACTAGAAAGTTGAATATGATTATAGATTCTGAAAATAGAAAACATTTGTGGTATAAAACAACTGATAACAAATATTATGACCATTTTGTTTTGTATTTTCATGGGGAATCGCCAATACTGAGTTGTCCCATAAATTATTTAATACAGAATGACAATTCTTGCTCCAGCTATAAGCCTACAGAAGAAGGCAAGAATTACTAGAGCTATACACACTTTGTATACTTTTACATCAGCTTGCATGTAGTACAGCAGCGAATTAAGATTCTTTTATGTTTATTAGTATGTCTTTACATGAGGTTTTGATCCTCATGAATATGTCTTTAGATGAGAAAAACTGCACAAGTTAGTGCATCAATGAAATAAAGAAGGAAATATCAAAGAGAGACATTGCCAATTGATATTTGAGACAGAAAAAAACTATTTTGAATAAATAATCTTACCGAATAAAGGATAAACACTGAATGAAAATATACCAAGTAAAGATCATTCACATAATCAAATTTATTTTTGAAGTCTCTTGATTCAAATATTTCATTATAAAGCTTTGTTTTTGTATCCATAAAATTCTATATTCACCAAATATCAATAAAGTAACGCTGAGTAGGAATTCCTATCACCCATGAAGTCTTGGCTAGAAAATGTAATAAAACAATACTTACGCCCAAAAATCTTCTACAGTGTCAAATTTAGTTACTAATCTTAAATTATCTTCCCATTTTTTGCTTCTATCATTTTTGAAAAACCAGAGTGCCCATCTAAAAAAATAGAATCATTATAAATGTATACTTGATCAAAGATCATTGTATTGGAAATTTCGTACATTTAACATAATGGTGACTAAAAATATAATTCACTATTCAAAACAAATTTTAAGATTTTTTCAGACTTTAGAATATTTTCTAATCATGCCATGTTCGACAGAAAGCACAAAAAAGTCATTGTAGTCTATATTCAATAAGTATGCATTTAAATTGTGCATTTCAAAAAATTAGGAAAAAATATATCATTTGATTTCCTGAATTGTATAAGCAGCACAACATACCTGCTTTGCAGTGGGTGTTTGATAGCAGTTTCATCTTCTACAGTAACTTCTTTTGAATCACCTTTCTCTTGCTCCTTGGTTGCTTCTGGTTTTGCCGGTTCACCAGAGCTTTTAATATCAGCTTTCTTTTCGGACATAGTAAACTAGTTTTCAAAGTTATATTATTTGATGCTATCCTAAAAAATATCAGTTGGTAATCAATGGTGCGTTTTGTAGATTGCGCTTCATTTTAGTTTATTGTGCAGTGCCAGTTGGAGACCCGGACTGTCTCGTAAAGGAGGGGTTCACACTCAATCTTATAATTGATATCTTTCCAAATTCTAAGAATGTCCCTCATTTGGTTCAATAAAACAAACACTCCATGTGTCTCACAAACCAAAGGTGTCTGGCACGCAGAAGATGCGTCATGCTTGTCTCGATAATAATCTAAATTAATCCCAGCCGTCACATGACCAAAATTGCCGTTTTTTGCTCAAAACTCTCGAATGCCACAGTAGATATTTTTTCCATCGGTAAATGGGAATATTTTTTCCCCCGAGGAATTCAATGATGACATTTTTAGATTGCCCTTCTTTGTGGTTTTTTGCTCAAATTCAATTTACTGTATTTTAACTGATATTGGGGGACAACTATCGAACCATGTGCAGACGTCCCCCAAAGAAGCCGAAGGGGTGTCTAACGATCAGTAAAATGGGTCTCTATGAAACGAGACAATGTCGCTCGATCTGTATAGTGTGGTGTACTGTAGTATGGAGGCTATTCTTGTAATCCAATAATCAGAGAACTGTGCCGTACTAATTTAAGTAATTCGCAATAGTACTGTACCGGTACTGAGTACAAGTTTTTCTAGGAAAACTACTTTTAGAAGCTCAAAGCAGTTCTCATCCTACAGTCCTACTGTAGACTACAGACCTTGCTTTGAACAAACTTATTAAAAAATATTTACAGATCAAAGGGATTTTCTTACCTAAAAATGATACAGTATCCATGCATATTACTGTATTAAGGATAAGGATAAGATTTACATATTTATCCCGGAGGAGAGGAAGTCGATCTGACGGCTTAACCATATAGCGAAGCGAACCACGTCCTCTCGTCCGGTTACCATTCCATGTCGAGTATGGGATTAGTTAGGTATTTGTTTTTCCGAAGCATGGACTTGATAGTCGAGGAAGCCGTAACCGACTAGCCGTTAGGTGAACCACCCAACGGTGGCAAGGAGTCCTGCAATCCTCTCGCACATAACCATCCCGCATGGGATTCAAACCTGCGAACACACGAAGAGTAATTAGAGGTGCGTGGCGAGCGTATTCCTAACGCTTAGCACGATGAGCCACACCGCCTTACTGTATTACGGTAATGTACGGTACCATATTACATGACCCAAGTTCAATGACGTACAGGTAATGTAAATGTTTGTTGCGCGACTGCCTAAATTACGGCACAGGTAATCTAGGTACCGAATTACAGAATTAATTCAGTAATTACCGTAGCGGTACGGGTATCATTACCGGTACCGGTACTGCATTACATGAATTAATTCAGTGATTGTTGGAATAAAATATCGTCTTCCTTCATTCTCTCTTCAATCCTCACCTTATCACTCCAGTTTCAAACAACTAACATTAATAGTTTCCAAAACCTTAAACTCAAAGGCCAGTTAACTCAACCGATTGTAATTAAACTGTGTAATACTGCAATAACAGGCAAAGTATAGAAGTGAATAGAAATAAAACAGCATGTAATGTCACGTGACCCGGTATTCTGGTATCGGTTTTTTCTCGAGAAATGCACTTCTGTCTGGTACATTGCCGTGAGATGTAGCCCAGTAGTGGTAGAAGTAAATCAGTGAATGTTTGCATCGAAGCCTCTGCGACATACCTGTGTGAAAGTGCTTTTGCAATTTTTTGTTAAATCGTAAATATATACTAATAATGTAATAAATTTTATATTCAATAATAACAGTAATCATTCACCTGGCTGATATCTCTTATTCGAATAACGCTGGTAATCTGGAGAACAAAATCGGGGGTATTTTAGGCACAAAAACACTTATTGACGGGTCTACTGCATTTGCATTATCAAGACGTTATATGACAAACCACGAGTCACGTGTTCGCTAATTCCGCATCAACATTCAGTATAACAAAACACAGATCAACAGGTGTGATTCGCTTCGGCACTGTTTACTTTACATACACGTAAAATGACCAACGAAGTTCTTGTCGAAATATTCAAAATACTATATCGGGAAATATTCAATGACGTTGGGCTTAACGTTTAACAGATCACAATGCTTGTTGTGATTCACAACAGAATCTAAACGCATATAATGGTACACTTTGGTAAAGTAACATTCGAGAGTATGTTCGCTTTGAACATAACAAGAGAGCTATGCTCAAATATATGGACACGTAGAGTCACATAATTTTGATGACGTCATAGCGAAAAAAGAAGTAATAGCCTTCTGGAGAAAATTTTTATCTTTAACCACTAAAAATTTCAAAGCAATTGGTCCAGTATTCGAAGAGAAAAGCGACTTTTTAAAAACGTGTCAAGCGGTACTGAGTTAGCAGTCAGGCAGCATCTTACCTGTACACTGTAGGCCATATACGGTAATTGATCACAGAACAGTTGTTCCCTTGCAAATTTTATGTTGTGTACACTTTAGGACAGATAATTGATCACAGAACAATTCTTCCCTTTCAAATTTTATGTTGTTTCCAGTAGACTCTCATCAAAATAAACAAATATAGTAGGCTACAAGTGCTACAACGCTTGCATTACTGCACTGGTAGGACCGTGAAAGAATAAGTTACGGTAATTTCATTGTGGTAAGACACCAGTACCAGTATCGTACTTACGTACTGAGCTACCAGTACCGGTTAGCAGTCAGCCAGCATCTTACCTGTACACTGTAGGCCATATACGGTAATTGATCACAGAACAGTTGTTTGTTCCCTTGCAAATTTTATGTTATTTACACTTTAGGACAGATAATTGATCACAGAACAATTCTTCCCTTTCAAATTTTATGTTGTTTCCAGTAGACTCTCATCAAAATAAACAAATATAGTAGGCTACAAGTGCTACAACGCTTGCATTACTGCACTGGTAGGACCGTGAAAGAATAAGTTACGGTAATTTCATTGTGGTAAGACACCGGCACCAGTACCAGTATCGTACTTACGTACTGAGCTACCAGTACCGGTACCGAACCTGTAGGTCTGATATTCCGTTCCGCATACGATAGGCTATAAAACTTGCATTGCAGCATTAGTAATACCGCGGAAGGAATAAGTCAATTTCACTGCGTTACGGCACCGGTATGGCAACTTACCAGTACCGACCTACAGTAGCTGTAGTACTGAGCAAGACAATCGATCGCGAAACCGCTTGAAATAAGTGTAAAACAGTGTTCCCATGAGTAAAAATAAATACCGCGAAATTTTGTATGAAATATCATATCTCATAGGATTCATATAAAATTTAAGAATAAACAAAAGTAATAGCCTTCTAGCGAAAAAATTAATCTTCAACCACTGAAAATTTCAAAGCAATTGGTCCAGTATTCGAAGAGAAAAGCGACTTTTTAAAAACGTGTCAAAGAACAAGAACAACAACAAGAACAACAAGAACAACAACAACATAATATTGAAACGATCGTTATGTCCACTACGTGTCCAATAACGCTCAAATATCGAAACGCTTCCCGCAGTTTTGTGGTACACATGATTATTTGTTTATTCATATATAGTTTATTTTATTTCTCCCGAGATTATTTCATTACAATTGGGTGTTCAATGTTCATGAAAGGCGACCAACAATTGTGATTTTTTTTTTCACTGTAGGCCTACAACGGAGTCACCAGAATTGTTATTCAGTTATCTCATACTATCAGCCTACCCTCTTCACAAGCTAACACTAAGCTGTTTTCCTGGCAATATAATATTAGAATGTTTAAAGTACAGTATCATATTATCCACTGGCGTCTTTCTTCAAATAGGGAACATTAACGCGACAGGAGAGCACAATATCTGGAGCTAAACAACTAGCCTACTTGTGACGTAACAATAAATAAGTATCTATAAATCGAAATTTTTTTTAAAGTAATTATTTAAGTAATATCACAGTTCAGCTTAATCCATGCGGCATGGCTAAATCTCTTTTTATTCCTCCTTCTACAGCTGAGATGTTAGGGTTTTCCAAAGAAATTACTCCATGGATAGGAGTCAATTTAGGCGAGTCTTACAAGTATACGGACCCATCAGCTGGATATAGCTTATCTCGGGTTCACACGTACATTCGACAAGTCCGAGTTGTTGTCATCGAACTTCGACAAAAGCTGGATTGCATAAATGAAGAGATCAAGGCTCTACTGAAGGTAAATGTAAGAAAATGCGCTGCTCTAAAAACTCCATGATTTACCATTTTTTAGTGCAACGCTTACTGTAAAATCATTAGCTTGTAAATTTGACGGAACAAATCGTAAATATTGATGGATATAATATTTTTCGAGATGGACAACTTGATAATTGTAATATATATTTTCATATTACAACCTGGGTGCAATTGAACAAATGCGCCGTGGTGAATGATGAGATTTATTATAATTCCCAGATAATAGTGTCTAAATCAATGAAACTGATTAATTTTGATACAGCACGCCAGATTTTAGGGAAAAAAAAAATTGTGATTTTTTTTTTATACATTTCCATCATAGTTTAAAAAGGGTCTGGCCAGAAGCCTGGATGATCTGAACGCTGAAATCCGTACAAAAACTCCCGAAGCAACTGTGAAACGTCCGAGGTTCATTAAAAATCGGGATAAAGAAGCTGAAGCGGAATTGTATACCAGAGGAGTTGTGACTGTAAAATTTGGAAAACCGGATACAAAAAGTGTCCTACATCAATTGCAAAATCAATACAAAGTCGTGAAGGAACAGCTTCAGGTAGGAGTTCTCTTCATAACGCTGGGTATCGCGAGGCTTGAATATCAGTATGACTTACTATTTGCTGTTAATAATTTGTTATTACACTCACTATTAATATACCCAGCTGCCCATACGAAATTTCAGGTTCTGGGCAACACAAGAAGTATTCTTTCGAAGGCAATAATGGATCGTGTGCGAATTCTTGATTTATTGCCATACGTTACGTCTGCATCCATTAAAGCAAAGCACCAAGAAGAAGATAAATGCCGTTCAATTGCTTACGTGAGTTAACTATGAAATTGTTGTAGCAATACCTTCATGTTAGGGACGCCACAAAGCACTATCCCAGGGGTGGCCAACCAGTCAGAGACCAATAGTCGCACTTTATAAACAACAACACACATGAACATCAGATATTTATTGTTTAGATTGCTACTTAGTGGGACTCCTTGGATTGAACAATGCTCATTAGATTTGGCTTGTATGTCATTGTGGCCAATCGAATGTGTCAGTCCGAACGGATTAATGCTCTGATTTCATGTGTTTTAGGGTAGAAAACACAGATTTGCAGACGTATGTTGACCCAAACATTGTCAATATCCTAAGCGCAACTCGTTTCAGATTGAGGTTTTTGTCCATTGGCATGCTTTTTCATAACCTAATGTTCCCCTCCCTTAAAGCGCATTTAAGTTGGTCTTCCTCATAAGCATCGACCAGCTTAAAACAACCAAGACGAAAAGAGCCGCATAAAACCGGCGCAAGAGCCGCATGCCGCTTGTGAGCCGCGGGTTGACTACTCCTGCATTATCCTAATAACTGATTTAACAGGAACATTTACAAAAGGTACTGTAATACTGTACTTTTACTGCATATATACGTGTTTTTATAGCAAAATTCATCACTATCATCATTTATAGAAATTTTATATGAATCACCCAGTGACGGATTTAGACGATAAGAGGCACATGGGCTTTTTTATTTCTAATGCCCCCTTCAACAATGACGTCACCAAGGTCATAGGCCCATTATAAAGTCATAATATGCTTAGAATATTAAGTCAAATTATATGATGTCGACATAAACGAATTTTTATATTGTGTAAAATACGAAAGTTCAGTTGAAGGCAATATACGTAGGCTACGCTAATAAACCTAATAAGGCATTATTAGGCATAATAATGTCACTGTATGTAATTTATAACCTTGTATACCAGGCCTGCACAACTCAAATTACCACGAGGGCCGCAAGCATAAATCTGAATGCCCGGCGGGCCCAAACTTTGCCACATAAATATTTCACAAGATGAACAACAAATCAAAATAATATTGTGAAACAGTTAAATTTAATGAAACACTTTCATTACTGGGGAGCTTAAAAATATGAAGAATCTTATTTACCTAAGTAAAAACAAGGTACAGTATTTTTGCATATGAGATGGCAAATATGTATTTAGGGCAGTGTTTCCCAACCCGAGTCCGCGGAGCGTTTTACGCGTTTGTTTGTTTGCAGAATTCGTTAAATTCTGTTGTGTTTGGTTTTATTGCCTCTTCACGATTGCAATATACGCAGTACGTACCTTGAGTCCGCAAAGATTTTCGCCGGTGAGAAAATAGTCCGCGACCAAAAAAGGTTGGGAAACGCTGAATTAGGGGTTCATCTACCTTATAAACCCACCCTTCATTTTCAATATTTCTTCTTTATTAGAATTAGGTATTGCGTGTTGCAGTATAAACTGATTGCAAAAAAATATTTTCTCAGGTTCAGTTTTGTAAAATCGTCCCAAATATTTGTATGACAATTTATTTAGTCATATCTACCATTATTGAATATTTCCATTGTAGGCTGGACAAACAATCCATTTAGTAGCAATAGATATTCCTCTGTTGTATTTTTTTGACTGTTAAATTACATTTTTCTACAAAATCTGCCCCAATTTATTTGAAATTTTACAGTAAATAGCTTTTGTGCGAGAAATTCTGCACCATTCATAAATGAAGGAATTGTTTTTTAAATTCTAAATTTGAATCAAAAAAGATACTTCAGTTTCATAAACTGCTAGCAAAAGGTAATGGGGGTTATTAATAGGTTGCTAATATGCACTAATGGGTGTGAGATTGTATATCGTTTTTGTTTTAAGCGTGATTCAGTCTGAATACTGAGATATCTAAATCAGGGTTTTCCAAACTGGGGGGCGAGGGGTCGAGAGACAAATTTTAGGGGTTGCGAAGGGCGCACCAGTTTCACACAAAGTTCAATATTTATTGAAACTAGTGCAAAACATAAATCTCACGATTTCGAATATGATCCGGGTAGATGCGCGCTTGCATGACTTTGATTGTTAGACCCGAGAAGTGGCGTGTTTCCAAATCACCCGCGGGCCGCACAGAAGTATCTAGCGGGCTGTATGTTGTGCAGGCCTGTTGTATACAAAGAAATATTTTCAAAAAGACTTATTCCTAATGATAAATCCGGCACTGGAATCACCACTGGAAAGGACTGAAACTAACACATACGCATGATGTAATCTAGTTCAGAGTGTGGGTATGACGTCTTCAAGTGGTTTTATATGTCCTGGCCAAATCTGGTACTTTGTAAGAAAACATTATAATTTACTTTTCATAAAAAGTATATTATATCCTATGCACAATTCCGTCAGTCAGTCAATCGTTTATTGGCCGTCACAAAAAACACATGCACAAAGATTGGTACAGAAAATAAATAAACTAGTAGCGTTAATTGTGCGACAGGATTCGCCAGGGACCTGGTTTTTAAGCAGCGACACCTGTAGCGTTGTTACTGGTTTGTTTAGTGTGAAAAATAATTGCATTCGCTACAAACATTGTATATGCAATAGTCATGATGGTGAACATTTTTGGGAACTTAGGAGCGAGCGCAACTTTGCTAACATATATAATAAAATTAGTAAAATAGACAAATCGAGAGGAATTTACAGCCAAAGCAATTTGGAAAAACCATGTAAATAATATTTAGATAGAAAAAAGGTAGTAAACTTTAGAAAAACCTTCTAACAAAGGCTATTTAGAAAATCATATAACGTTTATATGTATGTATAATACATTGTATATGAAATAGCTATAAATCTTGTGAAGCGGAGGTAAGCATAGGCTTGCTCAACAAGTTATCGTCTATCGAGTTTAGGCATATCAGTGTGGCGGTTACACCAATGGTTAACAATATAAGGTTGCTGGGTAGTCTAGAATTGCTACAACCATTTATATTATCCAACATACTTGTAGATAATTTGTATTCAACACTTGACAGGCGGAGAAAGAAGCAACGCGTGCACAAGTCAGAAAAAACATTTTAGCCAGCCGAAATAAAATTGCTGCAAATACACAAAGCCGTGAAGATCTTAGAAACTGTAATGTGCCTGAGAACATCACCAAACGTTCTAAAATTCGAAAGTTCCCGAGTACAGGCCAGATTCCAACATCAAAAGTGAGCAATTAACCTCGACTTTTAAAACATAAAATAAAGTTAGAATTCATATGAATTCTGTTGACTTGTGTACGATAATGCATTCCGAGACTGCTGGGTCATTTTTTTTTTCAAATAACGAATTAACCGGTTCTAGGAAAATTTGTCGTCGGAAACCTCTGCAGGAAATTTCGCCGCATGAGCATTTTGCTGTAAAACAGGTATTTGTGATAAAAATAGTTACGTTTTTGAAGTACCTTTTTATTTAAAAAAGATTCGTCATTCAAGAGCATACCTTAACCGTATGAATCTAACTGTTTTTATCACAAATACTTGTTTTACAGCAAAATGCTCTTGCGGCGATTTTTCATGCGGCCAATTTTTCTATTGGGGGAATTTCCTGCGGCGAATTTTCCGGAATGAATTAACCAGTTGCGTCACTATTTCTCATTTACATATCCAATTTGTCTCGTACTGAAATGGAAATCTATACGATTAACAACAATGTTTTCAAGTATATCGATTAGTTTATTATTATACACACATGAATAACAAGTTTAATGTTATCACCTCGATTAGGCCATAATTCGATAATATAAATCCAAAATATTGTGTCTCTAATAGGCTCGAATGGACATTGTGTTTTAGTTAGAGCATGTTAGGTATGCCCAAGGGTTCTGACGCCGGATTGAACGTAATGTAGGAGGAAACAAAACACCTCGCATGCTAGCTTCTGCGTTCAAATGAACAAATCGCTTTCATCGCAGTTAATTACAGATTATACTTTCGTCTTATTCACCATTATGTAACAGAGAGCAAACCGTATCAATGGATTGATGGTAAGAACGAAGTCTACTCCGGTGCCGGTGGGTTTACAACCCCGACCACAAAGAAGCAACGCTGACTTGGCAGTGAAATACTGGTATGTACTTGTTACTGACCCAGAAAAATTTTATTTCCTATATTCTTTTCCTTTTTCGCAACTTAGAGGTATTGATATTGTTAGATTTGAAATATAATTTTATGGAATATATATGGTAAAATAGAATGGCAGTTGCGTTTTATGAGCCGATGCGTCTATCTCAGTAATTGCACACGTAGTGGACTCGTGGATCATTTTGGCATTGATGGTGGTATTCTTTTTCTTGTTGCAAAAAAAGCGTTTTTCTTCGACTACTGGACCACTTGTTTTAAAATTTTAGTTCAATGTAGTGACGTAATTTTTGAATGACGTATTCAGGTGGGGTCAGGAATGACACAAAATATTCACGCCACGCCCACTAGAAGTACCGTACTCATGGTATTAAACTTGCGTTCTTGCGTAAGCAATAATTTCCTCTAAATAACTGCGCAAACTTGTTCCACTTGGTACATAAAGTAAAGTTTTTCAATTCGACAGCAATCCTCAAGAGGTCACACTAAAATGTTTTTGTGATGCATCAAAAAGGGATATCTGCCGACCTGGTATATGTCCTGGCTGTAATAGTTGCTTGCCGAATGCTTTGACAAAAGACTGCAAAGTTGCCTTACGGACAGCTTCCGAGGTAATACGTAATATAGGATAGGATTTACATATTCATCCCGTGAGAGAGGAAAGCCGAGAAGGCGGCCTAATTATATGGCGAACTACGGCCTCTCGACCGTTGTTTTCGGGAGCATGGACTGGATGGTGGAAAAAGCCGTAACCGACCAGCGGTTACATAAACCACCCTACGGTGGCGAGGAGTCCAGCAATCCTCTCGCACTTAACTATCCCCGCATTGAATTGGCGAAGATATCTTTTCAGTGAGTTTCTTTTTCAGTAAGCTAATGCTAGAAATCATTAATCAAAGTAGGCTACTTTCGATAACCCTTTTCGTTCAAATATTTTGGGGTTAGGATGCAATTTTGAATATCCCAGACCTCGCCATTATTAAGAACGGCATCGCTTTATCGCATTTTAAAGAGAATTTATTTTACCAGATTCATGGCATATCCAGACGGACACGGTCCTCTGTAAAAGACGTAGTAAAGGAATGCTTCACACTCGAACCGTTTGAAGATGAGAAGGAATTGTCCGAATATAGAATTTCTGATCCGAGCAATCATAGAACGAATCCATATCAAGCCTACTACAAAAAATCTAGTTTTGCATCGAAATCTCAAACTCGGTGATCTGTTTATCAAATTGTTCAATTGAATTGCTAACGTCGAATTTAATAGAATAAATTGCAAATATCCACTAATCAGGCCTAAGAAGGTTATAACAGGCCAACCATAATATTTCACGGACGCTATTCACGAGGAATATATATATATTATTTCGCCCATTTCATTTGTTCCAGATTTGATGCGGCATAATTGTTATTGTTAACTGTAGCGAACCGACACGTTGGTTCAAAATTGGAATGGATTTTCTGTGTTATTTCTAGTACAGTAATTGTGACACCACAAATGGGAGGAAACCTGACTGCATTCTATCTTCTATCCAGTACAGGGCTACTCAACTCGCGGACCTATTGATTATTAAATTTGGACCGCAGCTGCGTTTGACTTTGAATGCACCATTCATGTTTATTTCACATTGACGATGTAATGCATTTTTTCGCTAAACCACTCAGGAAAAAATTGTCATAGCAATAGAAGGTTCTCAGTACGTCGACTCACTTACCCAGTCTCCTGGCATTGGCTCATAAGCCAGATGCCAATGGTTGTGTAGCAACTGAAGTTTAAACGGCTGCTTGGATACGTTTTCCACAATTTTTTAGACATCGTGGTGAATATTAGATTGCTTTTGTCTTTACATGCTATTTATCAATTTTTAGTTGTATTTTCGAAATTTAAAAATAGATCAAATACCCCGATTTGCAAAATAGAATACTCTCATTTCATAGAACCACGATTGGAATAATTGGCAAAGACGGTGAAAAAATTTCTCAGACTAACGATTGCCAAATAAATTTTCTATTGGACAAGAAGTCGGCTAATAAATAGTTTCGCTAAAATTTGTGGTTGTTCCTAATATTGCGTGGAACTAATCGTTCTTCTCCGCAGCTGATATATATATTCCAAATATTTAGTCTTAAAATAATTCAAGTCGCTGGAAGACTTTTTACGGGTGGTATGGAGGCGAATATTTTACATCTTTTCAGAAAAGTCGGCGAGGGTCGGGCTTCAATATATAGGAACCAAAGATTCGAATTTAGGGAAGTTTCGCATAGGAAAAATTCGCATTACGACAAGGAAACAGGCCTAATTCGTCGGAGGTAAAATTTTATCCTCGTCATTAAACGTTTATCATTTGTAGTAAGCACAAAACTATAACTAACAAAACTTTTCATTTTGCGCTGTTGTAAAAGAAAATTGAATGTCACACATTTTTACATATTAACTGCCAGTATACTATCATTTAATTCAGCAAAATTTTTCGAAGCGTGTGGCCAACTGGATTTTTGATCCATTGCTTGTTCCCATGAATAAAATCTAACAGTACATTAACCACCAGAAAATACTCTCAGCTAAGTCCCCTCATCCACATACAAACAATGAAATGATCAAAACTTCAAATTATGAAAGTATTTTATGAGAATACTTTGTACTCCAACAGGAGCAATCCATTTGTATATAAAAAAGGCAAAATTTAGTAGTTTTCAGATACAAGAGCATAAAAAAACGGTTCACAAATTGAATTCGATTCCAATGATATTAATTGTATTCCATCATCGACCAATACCCTATTTTAAAGTAGTGCACTCATGGGTCATGGCAATATGAAAGTACTGTAAAAACTGTATTTGATAATTGAACTAGTGAAATCCCAAGCAAAGAAAAAGATGATTCTCATATAATCAGGACGTTAAAAAATGTTCACTCAGATAATATAACAATTGGAAGGACACGAAATCTAGATTTAACATTATGCATGGTAAAATTATGTATTCTGTCACAATTTTTAGACAAACAACTATCATTGAAAATTATATATTGAAGGTTGAAGTTCGCTATATTCATTGCATGAAGTTTTTGCTTAGAAAATGTGTACAATTGTTTGTGACATGGCTTTGAAACGTGATTTGCATAAAAAGTTGACAAATTCTCTCCATAATTGCACAATCTCGTTATTTTCAATAATTCCAAGCAATGAAGGGAAATTAAACTAAAACGAGGAACACTTGTTAATCAAGCAAGTAATATTGTTAATCAAGCAGGTAATATTTCTAATTACGGTAATTTCTAATCAAAACTTTAATAACAAAAGCTTACATTTACTTATTGATTAGGCACAACTAGTTTGGCCATAGAATATAAACAAAATTGAAGAAACAAATGAATTAGCTTTAATCTCTGTTGGAATAAACAAATAAAACAGCACAATGTAGGCAATAATAGCACCATAACATGGCATTTCATTCTCTACACTTTCTATTATTATCTTTCAATTACATTTTCTTCTTCTTTTTTCATTGAGATGGAGAACCTTTCGTCTGCGAGGCAGCAGACTGGTGTATAAAAAGGAATATAAACATTAGTTTGTTCAAACTTAAAAAGTAGCTTATCAAACGGATAGATAGATAACACATAGTTGTAAATTATTTTAAATAATTATTTGGTGAGATTCACAATATACTATGTTTGGTACTCCCGAAGTATGTGAACCAAGATGGCAGCCACCGGAACATAGTATGTTTACCAGGTTAGGGTTGGGCCATAATTTCAGGTACAAATACTACAGGAGTCACTTGGCTAGTCCCCGACCTCTTAATAGAACTACAATAAGTTCCGGTGTCCTCGGTTCACATACTTCGGGAGTACCCAAATATCTACTTCCAAGATTTTGACTAGGAACTAGGATTTTGACTTGGGTTTGCAAGCCTTTTTTGTTTGAGATCAAGATCTTCTTTTCTTCCTTTTGGAAGTATAATATTTGCTTCCTAACGAGTCCAAAAAGTCCATACAATTTAGAATACAGCTTATGGTCAAACCTCATAACTAAATTAGTATAGAACAGTTTTATTGTAGAACCTAGTCTTACAGGGTAAATAGGACAAATTGTTGCAGTAAATAAATGTAAAGTTAATTATGGCAATGAGGTATTTTCTGCCCAATACCAATTTCCAGACATCTGGAAGATGTTTTTTCTCCAACAGCAAAAAAAGTCCACTACCCTCAAGCAATATGCTTTCTTACCTGTTCCATTGATTTTCGTTGTTGAGAAGCGGCAACGGCATCATCATATTTCTCTCTACTGTTTGTATCAAATATCATGTTTGGTATGCTTGGTCCATAGTACACTTTACCAACAGAAGAAAGAGTTTCAATCCTCTTATATTCTAAGAATTCGGGTGTCAACCTCAGCTAAAGAAATAAATATTATTGTATAAAAAAAAAACAGTAGTCAAAGGAAACAATTCTTACTATACTAGGATTACTATTATTTTCGTTAACTAGAATGAAAACAGTGATCACTATAACACCTAAAAATTAAAACCAGCTTCAATGCATGACATATTTAACAAATATTCACTGACAAAACGATGAACCACATACTCACATACTATAATTTTTCTATATAACCTATATTATTAAAACATATCCCGAATCAGAAGGCATGTCAAATGTCAATCTATATTAAACAAGTTTAAACAGTGTTCCTATAATTGAAACATAACAGCAAAATTCGTAGTGATATAAAAGGTCTTATACAAATACAACTTTTCGAGCAATTTTTCCACGAGAACCGCAACAAGGCTAACAACAATTTAGCAAAAAGATCCATGACCATATGTACACTTCATGCCTTTTTTACTAATTTTTTAAACAACGAGAAATATTATTGTGACCGAACCATATTTACCAAAGCCTAACAGCTTGGTACCCAATAAACCATTTGTAAACAAGGCCATACATACCTTATTTGCTTCAGCTTCTAATCGAGCAGTATATAATTCTGCATCTGCCCTTGACTTCATTCTAGCTAGATGAGATTCATCTGTAAAAATAAAATAACGAATGACTACGATGCATTGCTCGTCATTTTATTCTAATCTCTCAAAGTAAAACATTCAAATCTGGTTGCTGGATCATGGTTTTGGCTGAAATTGGAGTTGGAATCAGAAACTGTATGAACAAATCCTGCAGAATCCTTATTGGAGATTTCATATATTCTTTCAACTGAAACTTTGAAATATTACCTTCTATTTCTGAAATTCTTTTCTGTGTTTCCTTCTCCATAATTTTTTGAGCAAATTGAATTTTTGACACTTCAGCCTGTTTTTCAGCCTCTGTGAAACAAGTATTTATTATATTAGAACAGATGACTTTAATGAACTATCTTTGGAGAGGAAATGTTGATCATATTGTTTGCTATAAAGAACAATCTGGTTCCCATAATTACCATTCAAACCCAACTAAGAAAGATGTGTAGCCTGAATTTCAACTCATAAAAAAGTTGCATGAAGTTTAATAGGCAATAGTGCTTATTGTAAATTTTCAAGTAAAGCTAGTTTGGTTCTAACAACCAAACCATAAGGCACTATCTATAATCAAAACATTGGAATCAAGGCCAAAAGATGGCCCATGGTCAATGGCAAAAATCAACGAATTCCGTTACTGAAAAATGCGACATGCGCTATTTTGATTTTACTGCGCCAATATAAATATATTTTTTGATGGAGTCTATGAAAATGGGGGAACGTTAAAACAGAATCTTTTCTCAAATAATAATAAAAAAAGATAAAATCCTTCAACAAATCAAATACCTATCAAAGCTTTCTTCCTCTCTGTTTCTGCTTCTTTTTCGACGACTTTCTGTTTCTGCATAGCAATCAACAGTTTTGTCTTTTCTCCCTCCCTGAAAGATAAAATATCATTTAAACAACTAGCAAAATGCTTCAAGACAAATGATATGCAAGGTATAAAATACTCAAAATTGACAATTTATATTTACCTTCTGAGGTAGAGCCATTGTTATTCATATATAATCATTGGATGCTTTTCCAAATATGCTACTTAATAGAGTCAGTAATGAAATTCAGTATTGTGCATAGCAGGAAGGAAATATTAATTTTAGAAAATTGGAAGTAGAGACGTAACAATCATGTAGTGACTATGAACAGTTGTGTCCTTAATGATATTACATCAAGTATCACATCCCAGCCAACAAAGACACTAACCAATTCTTAATCTGATTTATGCAATTCCAAATTATCCCTTAAATTTTGCTGCCGATATTTCTAATTTGATTTTACATAAATTGCTGCATTTAGGACGCATTAATATATGAAAAAAAGCAGAAGAGAAAAGAAGATCATTTAACTACTTTAAAAAAATGCTTACATTAATTCAAAGTTTTTCCTTATAGTTTCTGGAATTTTCGGCTTTGTCACCCTGACTGCTTGTACCAGTAGTCCAGGTGCCATTTCTACCAGATCTTTCTGAAGAGCCTTCTTTAAATTTTCATCTATGATATCTATATTAAACAAAATATCAATACATCAAAACTATGCCCAAATTAGCCCAAAGTATTATTATGCGTTAACAATAGCATATAACAAGTAAATAATGCGAAGATTTAACAATTTCAACACATCTTAGTAAAAGGCCCAATTACCCAGCTGTGACCGCTACCATTCTCCACTAGTGGGAATTTACCCACATAGACTACGATAGTATTCGAATGTAAATAAAGAGAACAACATCTTATTTATTTAGTGGTTATTTTGTAAAATCTGTGATTGAAATTATGTCAATTCATGAGTTCACAGTGCGTTTGAACTTCATTGAACTGTTCCTATGACAGAATCAAATTTACAAATATTGCTTGACAACTTGTCTGAGGAAGCATTAGTAACATTCTCGCAATAGCAAATATGAATATGCTATATGGTGAATGCAGATTCATCCTAATCCCATGTGATAATATGCAAAATAATAGCTGAACTCCTTGCTGCTGCAGAGATTATGCATAATAGCTGAAAGGGTACGATTTTTCACACCAATTACATCCACTCCCAGAAGCAAATTTTGCAGCGAAACTAATCCTACATTCAACCTGGACTTATATTATGATGAAAGACCTTAATATAGGCAGATTTGCCAATTTTCTCTTCCTTGAATAGATATGAAATCCTAATACCAAGCAAGAGAACCAAATCAATATTAAATAGGACTCACCAAACATTTCAATATATACTTCTTGCAAAGTATGAACGGAACAGAACTGATTTAATTCATGATGTATTTTATTGAATATCAGTGCACGATCATAATCAGCAGTGTAATTCTTCACAATCGCATGAACAGCAGAAAAATGAAGAATATTAACAACTTCAATCTGATCAAAGTATATCATGACACCACCACTGAAAACACACAATGAAATATGAAGACATTCAACATCCAGGACAAACAATTACGAATAATTTAGCATTTTACAATGCTTAAAATAGCCTATAATAATATGCCATATTCATATAATGGTTCTGAACTTTATGGTTTATTGGTGCCATCAAAGAAGGAGATTAACCAAATTTCTTTTGCTCCAAATCCCTATACAAGCAACCTTATATAAGATATGTCAAGAGCTACTATAATTAGAATGACCGGAAATTTTCCGGTTCGACATGAACTACCGTACCCAATTTATAACACTGTGCGGTGGGGGTATGAGATGTTTAGTCTGTGAAGCCAACACAGGTAAGCCTCAAACACTAAGCTATCTCAACCAGGCAATAATGAATATGAAGATACAGTGGCACAGCCAAGAGGGGGATTGTGGCCTTGGTTCAAATCGAACCCCCCGTCCCCCTTTGAAATTTTTGGAAAACTAACTGTCGGCAGTAACGCGTGCAATTGCATTTTGCTAAAATCGCCGATTGTTTTTGTCAGCATGACGTGTTATTTATTAAGCTGTAAACACTTTTAAGTTGGTGTTTTTTCTCCCCGAATCATAAATTTTCCACAAATTTCACGATAACGATGACGATCAATTTTTTTTTTGTACTCACACAGAATTGTGAATCCGGTGAGATAGCATGAAGCCGAATTGGAGAAAGATAACAGTTATTATAATTTGAGTAGCTCGCGTGTCTATTCGGTTGATTATATAACTCAGTACAGGCAAAAAGTTAGTGCAAATATTGTAAACATAATTCATTCTTCGGTGTTCAACTCAATTTTTTCATGCTCAAAATTAAATAGAAAATCAACAAAAATATTACAAGGTATTACAAAAAATCAATTCAGATTTTTACCCGGTTCCACAAGGTACATTTTTGATTTTATCTGTTTGTAAAGTTGTCTGTACAGTTCTATACGTCGTTATGAATGGAATCATCACATGATATCCTGGGGCTGCTGTACTTTGCAATAAGGCACCACCCTATCAAATTAAATAGGCAAAATCAATTGCATACGTAAACATGATGAAAAGTTTGTTTGATCATCAGACTTGTACAATTGTATCTAGGCAGCCAATAACAAGTTCAATAAATATTTAAAACCTCCGTAAATATAATTGAAAAACAGGATTCGAATAAATTATAAACCTGTACTCACTCTGTAATATACAGCAACATGTCCTAAAACAAAAGAAAATTAATTTAGCGGTATTGTAAAAATTTCTAGATTTGATTTAACATACAAAATTGTCTGAAAATCGAACAAAACTTCAACCCATCAATCTATTTATAATCTAGACAATTGTAATAGATTCGTTTCAAGTATCGTGTTAAGCACTGTAGTATCCTGCTGTATCCAACAGTACAGCATTACGGTAACTGCCATCTCTGCACAACCTACTTGGAGCATCAGTGATTGCTCACAATTTTTTTAATTTCAGTTGGGTGGCCTGCAACTTTGAACAACTATAAATTCAAAACTTTCACCAAGTTTGATAAAGTATGAAAACACAAATGCCGCCATTCATCATACCTTCATCCACTTTATGAAGAGAAAAATTCACTGCAAGTGCGAGGAAAACTCCAAAAGCACTGATTGCAATTATTGCGTTCGCCATTCAAGTTGTTGACTAATTGTTAAAGTTAAAAGTATTTATTACTGAATTAATATTTAAAAAAATATTGTTACATGAGGCACCGTGATATATGTAAGGCAGTGACTGAGATGCCACTTCTATAATGCAAACAAATTAAAATTGAGAATTCTGAAGAGCGAGCAAAACTTTTAAAAAAGTTTAGGACATGAGAAATATCATGTGCCCATTCACCAGCCCACATATTCCAGCATAGTTATCCTAAAGTTGTATATCGCAATTGATTTCAGACATTCTATATGAAATGAACCTGAAGAAATTCATAAGATGAATCATGGTTGTCTAATCAAGTATTTTTACGAAAGAAATATTTATTTGGATTTATAGTATAAAAGATCCCAACCACTGAACAATGATTAGTAAAAGTATTGAAAAGCTTGATTAAAACTTGTAGTAGTGCCTACAATAATGTGATTTTACACATTGAACAGGCTAGTATGAAATTATTTGACAAATTGGCTGGTAACATTTTTTACTGCTAGGATGTCGGAATGTTGACAATAGTTTCTCTAAAACCCCACACTAGCGTTTTCAAGCATTTTTCAGGCATAATTATCCTGTCCGGGTTTATTATTTACAATGATAAAATATGGCGAAGTACAAAATCAGAAAACTATAGGCACATTCAGTATGATTGAATTGGTCAAAAACAAAAAAAAATATAATTGGTAGAGAGGTCTCAAAGGTAACAAACACTGGACTTTATTTTCATCTTAAAGTTCGCCATATTTTCCATACATGATTTTCCCAATGCATCACAATTGAATTATATATAAACAGGTGATTAAAACTGTTCATCAATGAAAGCCTAGCTTTAGGGAGATTCCGTTCTCGGCTGGTACCAATTCAATTACTGATAGAGATATGAAGAGTCGTTTCTATATCTGTACCGAACCACCCGCACCTCGAATTACCGAAGTGTAACCGACAAAGTTCATAATAAAAACCAATTTCATGCAGGAAATTTCTGTTCAAAATCAAGAAGCCATTTCTTGATATTGTCACCCTTTCCACTCATGTAATGTCCTGCAGTTCCATTGCTTGCAATCACACGATGACAGGGTACAATTAGGGGTATCGGATTTGCCCGCATAGCTTGTCCGACAGCTCGACATGCCTTTGGACTTTCACACATTTCTGCCAGTTGCGCATATGATACAGTTTTACCATGTGTAACATCAGTCGCCAAGGTTCTCAATACTTTTCCAGTAAAATTATCTTTTGAGTAAATCTCATTGTCTATCTTGGGAAGCCTTGACATAGTCTTTCGTTTGTCACCCTTTGCAAAAAATAATTTTATCCAATCCACTGTGCCATCTGTCGACTCATGCCATGGACCATTATAACTTAATACAGATACATCAAAATCATCATTCTTGAAATTTATTATTCCATCGAAGACATTATAATCTCTGTCCAATATTATTTCCTTCACACCTAAACATGACTGAACTACTTTGATTTTTCCAATGGGAGTTTGGAGAAACGAAACACACAAAGCAGACTTCATTCCTTTCCATGTAAAATGCGGTACCGATACGGTAACCTATAAGTTAAGTTAGATAGTAGATAGTTATTCATTGTGTACCGTAATCATATACCGGTATCATACAGTACATTTTATTAACATATACGGTACGGTACCGGCAGTGGCGGCGCGTGGTCATTTTGACAACCGGGGCAAGCTACTGCGGGACCAAGTCACCCACATCTACGGGGACAGGATGAGCGCTGTAAGTTCTCCCATCATTTTATGAGTATAAAAACCATTCCATCGGTAACAACCAATCGGCAAAAGCGACAATTTTTAACGATAAGAAAGTGTCTTTAAAACCGGTCCAAGTCAAGGGATTAATAAATATAGACATAGTTTATTTTGAAACCTCTTTCAAAAGGAAAGGCAATATTTACCCAGATAAATACAATGACATATTAACAGAAACTTCGGGAAAGCAGACAAAACCTAAAATAAGGTTTAAAACGTTACTATGAAGAAAGGAAAGTAATGCAAAGATAAGGACATGCGTCGCTCACTCATAGATATATATGCCGCTAGACTTCTACTGCTTGAATATGGTTCCATTACATTTGAACCCACGTACATTTGAACCCATGACAATTGCACCTGTATGCTATTGCACCTATGGAATTTTTTTTGTTTCACGGATAGTTAAACCCATACTAACCCTAACCCATGGGTTTTAGCACCCGCATATAGATTGAACCCGTGGATATACGCATGGGTTCAAATGTACGTGGGTTCAAATGTACGGTCACCCTTGAATATATATGCAACACGCCGCGGTTTCTTGGAAGCAAAATGCTCAATAACGCGCTGATTAAAGTCATGCATCCCAGAAATAACGTCTCTGTGAATGGATAAAACAGCCAAGGAATTTAATCTATCTTGCTTCATTGTGTTTCTGAGATGCGTTTTAATACGCTTCAGCGTGCTGAATGTTCGCTCTGCGTCGGCGGAAGAAATAGGCGTCGTCAAAATGATGTCCAGAAATTTTGCAGACGCCGCAAAGGTAGTTACTAGAGTGTTATCTATGAGGAACCCATAGAGCGCGCAAGTTGATGTGATGTTCAAAAAAGTTTGATTGGTATATATACATCGCAATTCATTTTCCAATTTACCCACGTTTATCATGGGGTAAAATTTGGAGACAGTAGCCAACAAATGGATGGGAAATTGACGTGCAAATTTTGAAAAATTTTTGGGGTCCATCAAAGAGAACGCGGCAAGGTGTTCAGTGCGCAGACGATCGCCTATTTGATTCACCAGAATGTCACAGCATTCCTTTGCAGACAATTAGGGGTACAATTAGGGGTATCGGATTTGCCCGCATAGCTTGTCCGACAGCTCGACATGCCTTTGGACTTTCACACATTTCTGCCAGTTGCGCATATGATACAGTTTTACCATGTGTAACATCAGTCGCCAAGGTTCTCAATACTTTTCCAGTAAAATTATCTTTTGAGTAAATATGGCGAAGTACAAAATCAGAAAACTATAGGCACATTCAGTATGATTGAATTGGTCAAAAACAAAAAAAAATATAATTGGTAGAGAGGTCTCAAAGGTAACAAACACTGGACTTTATTTTCATCTTAAAGTTCGCCATATTTTCCATACATGATTTTCCCAATGCATCACAATTGAATTATATATAAACAGGTGATTAAAACTGTTCATCAATGAAAGCCTAGCTTTAGGGAGATTCCGTTCTCGGCTGGTACCAATTCAATTACTGATAGAGATATGAAGAGTCGTTTCTATATCTGTACCGAACCACCCGCACCTCGAATTACCGAAGTGTAACCGACAAAGTTCATAATAAAAACCAATTTCATGCAGGAAATTTCTGTTCAAAATCAAGAAGCCATTTCTTGATATTGTCACCCTTTCCACTCATGTAATGTCCTGCAGTTCCATTGCTTGCAATCACACGATGACAGGGTACAATTAGGGGTATCGGATTTGCCCGCATAGCTTGTCCGACAGCTCGACATGCCTTTGGACTTTCACACATTTCTGCCAGTTGCGCATATGATACAGTTTTACCATGTGTAACATCAGTCGCCAAGGTTCTCAATACTTTTCCAGTAAAATTATCTTTTGAGTAAATCTCATTGTCTATCTTGGGAAGCCTTGACATAGTCTTTCGTTTGTCACCCTTTGCAAAAAATAATTTTATCCAATCCACTGTGCCATCTGTCGACTCATGCCATGGACCATTATAACTTAATACAGATACATCAAAATCATCATTCTTGAAATTTATTATTCCATCGAAGACATTATAATCTCTGTCCAATATTATTTCCTTCACACCTAAACATGACTGAACTACTTTGATTTTTCCAATGGGAGTTTGGAGAAACGAAACACACAAAGCAGACTTCATTCCTTTCCATGTAAAATGCGGTACCGATACGGTAACCTATAAGTTAAGTTAGATAGTAGATAGTTATTCATTGTGTACCGTAATCATATACCGGTATCATACAGTACATTTTATTAACATATACGGTACCGGCAGTGGCGGCGCGTGGTCATTTTGACAACCGGGGCAAGCTACTGCGGGACCAAGTCACCCACATCTACGGGGACAGGATGAGCGCTGTAAGTTCTCCCATCATTTTATGAGTATAAAAACCATTCCATCGGTAACAACCAATCGGCAAAAGCGACAATTTTTAACGATAAGAAAGTGTCTTTAAAACCGGTCCAAGTCAAGGGATTAATAAATATAGACATAGTTTATTTTGAAACCTCTTTCAAAAGGAAAGGCAATATTTACCCAGATAAATACAATGACATATTAACAGAAACTTCGGGAAAGCAGACAAAACCTAAAATAAGGTTTAAAACGTTACTATGAAGAAAGGAAAGTAATGCAAAGATAAGGACATGCGTCGCTCACTCATAGATATATATGCCGCTAGACTTCTACTGCTTGAATATGGTTCCATTACATTTGAACCCACGTACATTTGAACCCATGACAATTGCACCTGTATGCTATTGCACCTATGGAATTTTTTTTGTTTCACGGATAGTTAAACCCATACTAACCCTAACCCATGGGTTTTAGCACCCGCATATAGATTGAACCCGTGGATATACGCATGGGTTCAAATGTACGTGGGTTCAAATGTACGGTCACCCTTGAATATATATGCAACACGCCGCGGTTTCTTGGAAGCAAAATGCTCAATAACGCGCTGATTAAAGTCATGCATCCCAGAAATAACGTCTCTGTGAATGGATAAAACAGCCAAGGAATTTAATCTATCTTGCTTCATTGTGTTTCTGAGATGCGTTTTAATACGCTTCAGCGTGCTGAATGTTCGCTCTGCGTCGGCGGAAGAAATAGGCGTCGTCAAAATGATGTCCAGAAATTTTGCAGACGCCGCAAAGGTAGTTACTAGAGTGTTATCTATGAGGAACCCATAGAGCGCGCAAGTTGATGTGATGTTCAAAAAAGTTTGATTGGTATATATACATCGCAATTCATTTTCCAATTTACCCACGTTTATCATGGGGTAAAATTTGGAGACAGTAGCCAACAAATGGATGGGAAATTGACGTGCAAATTTTGAAAAATTTTTGGGGTCCATCAAAGAGAACGCGGCAAGGTGTTCAGTGCGCAGACGATCGCCTATTTGATTCACCAGAATGTCACAGCATTCCTTTGCAGACAAAATCAAACGCTGCGTTGTTTGCCCGCGGCGTAAAGAAGCACTCCATGTGTCGTCGTATTTTATTGTTTCCCGGATACGAGATACAGCATCGCAGAAGTCTGAAATACACGACTGCACAGACGCTCCATCCATTAGCCTTGACTGCAATGCGCCGTATAATACTTCCACGTGATAGAATATTGTGGAGAAAAAAGCGAGAAAAAATGAAAACTCACCATCTTCCAGCAGACGCTTTAGACCTGCCGCCTCCCTCACAGAGCGTTCGTCCCAAACCGGAGAGCTCTGAATGCCATTGAAACACTCAATGAGCTCAGACCTAATTTCGGACACGCCCTGCACCACGCGTGATTGGAAGTTCCAACGTGTTGGTGCACAAGCTGGGAGACGGCGGCTACATATCTGGTGAAGGAGGTCAGAGCGCTTCGGCAAAACGAAAAAAATGAAGAAAACCCCGAAACATTTGCAAAAAATATACGGACGAGGGGGGTATCAAGACACATCTTTTTAAAAACGAGGTTAAATTGGTGTGCATAACAATGTAAAAAATGCGCATGAGGAAAATCTTCTTTTATATAAACTTGAACACCATGTTTCGACCTACTCATGACTGCCGCGCCGTCATAAGTTTGAGCTATCAATTTTGACTTCGCGTTGTAAGGCTGTAACACTTCTTTCAGTACAGCCGATATCCCGCAAGCCGTGCGATCAACGATTGGTACAAAGCTGTGAAATCTCTCGGTACTCGGTTTACCATCTTTCACAAACCGAAAAATCACAGCCAGTTGGGAAACGCACGTGATGTCAGTTGTCTCGTCAGACTGAATCGAAAGGAACTGGCAATTCTCAATTTCCAGAGCCAAATGTTGTAAATAAATTTTATACATTGAGTCGAGCAAATCATTTTGGATATCTTTAGATGTCCCTTTCGAAACAGTTGCGGCATCAAGATGATCTCTCAATACTGTATCTAGGGGTGCGATGTATTCCACCATATCCAAAAATACCCCTCTATTAGAAGAGCCAGCCCGTTCATCGTGCCCACGGAGGGACAGCTCGTGACAACCAATGAACTTCAAAACATCTATCAATCGACCGAGAACATGGCGGTTTTTCTCGACGTTTTGGTTGTGCCGACGAATAGGAACTGCGCGTCCTTCATCCAACTGTGCTGCAATATTAACATTTCCGAATGTTCGGTATTTTACTGCATTGTCCAGATGCTCCATAGAAGATTGATGATCCCTGGCACGCTCGGAAAGATGTTTAAGATCTCTAAAACCAAATTTACACCAACGTGAGTCACGGGCGGTAGCAAAAAGTAGGCAATAAAAACAAAAAAGTGCATTTTTGTCCTCGCTGTAACACAACCATTCGTGTTTTTTATACCAAGTTTCTGCGCAGAATGTACGCCGACGCTTTCCTCCGTCATGGGATTGTTCCAGTGAACAATTTTTTGGTTGATAAGGCCCAAGACGTTGTACCTCTAATTTTTGTTCCAGCGGTAGCTGCGAAAACGGAGTGCGAAGTAGTGAAAATCGAAAGCAAATGGACTAAAGGTCTCTAACTGATTCAAATAGCGAAACAAGCGACAAAAACGAAGGCGAGGAAACTATCAACTCTTCAAGCAACCAACGAACGAGAAGGAATGCGTGAATATGTCAACACGTTGTTGTGAGAAACGTCGGCATTGTGTCGTCATAATTTCGGGGCTAGCCCCGATCGGCCCCGATGATTTAGTAAAAGAAACAGAAAACAAACGAGACAAACACGGCGAGTGGAAGATAAAAGAGAGAATACGATATACAATGAGCAACCGGGGCAAAATCGGCGTCGCCCCGTCGACGTTCGGCGAAGGCTTTGCGAGCGAAAAATGAACCATGTCGGGAGAATATGGCTAGTGTAGACAGTCTGTGCAACCGATATTGAGGTATTTTTCAAATATTTTTTATTATACCGAAAAAACAACCGGGACATTGCCCCGGTTGGCCCTATTGACGCGCCGCCACTGGGTACCGGTAATAAAAAAGAATAAAAAAAACAGTACAATGATATTCAGACAAAATTTATATTTACAAAATACCGATATCTCAATACCGCAGTCTCGTGTAGTGGAGGCGTAGCCAGGATATTTTGCGCCCGGGGCAAAATATGAAATTGGCGCCCCGACCCCCATTTTTAATCATGTTTTCTATTGCATTTAATTGTATATGTAAAAACAAATTATATGTCGTCACGCTAATAACCGAATTGCGTAAGTCATTTTTAGCTGTTTTGAGGAAAACGTAAAAAAAACTTCCTGATGATACTGCTATGCCATAGTTCAACTTTTTGATCGTAGCCGGATTTAAGTTAATTTGTATGACGCAGTCATGTGACGTCATAATGGCGCACTGTGACTTAGGAAAAAATGTGTCTAGGACTAGGGGACATACGCAATTTTGCAACTTGACTATATGTACCAGTCCTGAAAACCGAACAATCCATAATAGCTAATCTGTTCCAATTACATTATTTTTTATGTTTAAAAATATATATTTCATCAATATAACACGCTCTGCACATCCACCGAAATAAGACTAAAGTTAAACATAAAAAATAAAACAGTAATGTACCATTATATAAAAGTCAACCAAGGTGAATTGGACTCAGACAGTGAATATCACAAGTGCACGCCTTCCTATACAGTAGTATAAATTGAAAATTATTGGGGCTAAGCTAGAATCTGAGATGCAAAAACTCGAAAATCCGTCGCCGAGGTTATTTTGCCTTTGTGACGTCACAATAGTCTGCGTTAACAATGATAATTCATTATGACGGAACAATTGAACAAATTTGCATATCATACAAAATCTCTATTTTTATGGGTTTTGGAATTCTTAAAATAAAATCTGAGTAAACAGACAGGTGCGCAGCATTACATAAATACCTATTTTATGAAAAACTCAAAACCGCCAAAAATGACTTACGCAATTCGGTTTTTAGCGTGACGATAAGTGAATTCAAATTTATATGTATTTAGTATTTATATATTTATTATTTATTCAAAAATATATGTATACGTAAATTCAAATTTAATGGAACATTTTATTTAAAGAAGAAGCAAAGCTATACATCAAAATCTGTTTTTTTTCCAATGTTTCTCTTTCAACACTTAGAAGTGCAAGATCACTGAGACGATCCTATCCCGTTGATGCACGCGAATACGACAAAATAAGTTTCAATTTGCTTAAAGACCGTTCACAGCTTGCAATTGAAACTGGTATTGTTAACAAAATTTGTGGAGAGATTCGCAGATTAGGTAAAACGTCGTCTCCAAAAGACACAATAAAACCAAGAAGAGCCAAAGGAGTTTCTGGTTGACCTACAGTTCTGTTACTGAGCAGCATTCTGCAATCTCCAATTTCGGTGAAAAGTTCGTGGCCATTGATGTCCGTGTCGTAGAAATTTACAAAATCTGTGCAATCTCGACGAATTGTCGAAAACGGCATTAGGGTCTTTTAGCACAGTATAATATATTTTATGTAACTCTGCCGCAAAGTACGGTACTTTGGCAACAACGAAATACAAAACCACGTATTACTCAAAACATGTATTAACATTATTCACCCAAATTCCGTTTCCATTTGTCTTCAGCACAGTACTAATATAAACTTACATCGGAGTGCGCAGGCAAGAACTTAACGATACAGAACCACGTAATTTACGCGGTGCATTTTGTTACCTAACGTTACCAAATCAAATTTTGCTTTGCTTCCCGGCCAGATTTTTTGGCCAT